GACCAGGTGTTGCTGAGGGAGAGGGAACTGATGCTGGAGGACCAGGTGTTGCTGAGGGAGAGGGAACTGATGCTGGAGGACCAGGTGTTGCTGCTGCTGGTTGGCATGGGGCATTGGCGCAATGGCGATCCAAATGCTTTATTATTTCCTTCCTGTTTATATAGGTGTTTGAGCAGTAATAGCAATGAAAGTGTTTTGCCTTTCCATCACAACCCAGTCCACAGCCGTATATCATGAAGTCTAGAAAAAATAATAAACAAGAGTAATTTAAATAATAAAAAAAATCAATAATGACTCATAATTTGTAATAGAGAATTCTAAATGAAGTGTAGCCAGACATACCTCCATGACTGATTGCTCTAAGCTTGTGACTGGCAAGATGTGTAGCTATTTTAGCATATCCAGCTGATTTGTACATCTCAGGGGAACAAAAGGGACACTGAAAGTTGTTTTCATATCTGGGGACAGGTCGAGGATTTTCATCTCCTATTCTTCTCACCGTTATGTGCTGAATGAAGAGATTGAGAAAAAAAAACTAGTAAGAACACATGAAAAGAGCAGTGTGCTGTATTAAAAGCTTTATTCATAAGAATTAGGTCACTTGCAATTAATTTGAAAATGAATAGATTTCTTATAATTTCATAATACATGGTATGATTGCTAAGATTGTCTTACTTAGGTGAATCACTTTTACGCTGATTAACCCAGAAACCACAAAATGCTGACAGTGTGCTTTTGAATAACTAACTTTATTCCAAATGATCAGTTGCGAGATTTGAAAATATTTTTAAGATTTAAGATCAACCTTATATGTAGCCTACATTCTATTCTGTAAACATTTATAGKGTACATAACATGCATTCTGATTGAATAAAATTTATTTACTCTGCTCTGGTGGGCAACAGGAGACATTTTAAGGCGTAATTTCCGTGTTGTTTTCCRGGGATAAAAATCCACATCTGTAGAAAACGTTTCCTTTTCTAACATAGCAGGTGACGAAATGCTGAAAAAAAAATCTATTCTGTCATCAAGCTGTCTAACAAAATGCACATGCTAAAACATAACTCTCTCGCTCTGGCTAAAAACAAACAAAGCTTTCCCGGAAGTATTTGTTTTTGCGCATGCGCAGAAGAGCTGACGGTACGAATAGTGCTTCCGGAACAGATCAAGACCGGTGAATTTAAAATGGCGACTTTTAATTTGAACTCCGCACAAAACAGATATCAGAGATCACTACACCACACTCTCTCACTACAAACAGAGGACAAATAAAAAGAAAGTTCAGTTTCTTAAAAACAAATAGGGGATTGAGTATAAATCCATCAGCATTCGCATCTGTGACTTTTTCTTTAATACCTCAACACAGAAAATCCGAAAATTAACTTGATGGATGAAAATTGTATTACCTTCATTTTGAGCATCTTCGTGGTTAGGTGAAGGTACGGAGAGGAAAAGACCCTCTTCAATAAACAGAGCAAATCCAACTACGCTTGAGAAACGCCTACTCGAAAAGGACGCGGGTGGCGTCCAATCCTATTGGACGTGCGCACGTAAACGTACSTGTGACGTTTGTTTGAAATTTCAGCGGCAGCTTGTTAGCGTTTGTTGCTCAGCTTCCCGGCAGCTGCTCTGCAGCGACAAAACTGCAAAACATTTATTAAAAAAATAATAATAATACCGACAGAGCTTGATTAAAAATGTCCTTTTCGAGAGCTCCTTTGAAGAGGTTCAATGACCACGTCGGTAAGTAAAAATAAAGAGCTAGCAACTTGCGGGTAAACCATCCACTCATGTTAATGAACCGTAASTAGCTTAGCTGACATACTACTTGGCTTACCGCTAAGCTAACATTTAACGACGCTTGGTGGGTTTGGTGTTTGATGGAATGAAACCAAGTAAAACGCGGTGAAATGAAAAAGGACAAATTTCCTAAAGTAACCGTGTAGCATTCAGMGAATCACAGTAGCTAACGAGCTGTTTCCCCCGAAGGCTGTGCTCCTGCTCCAGGAACCTACGAGATTAAATCAGAGGATCCGAAGGGAGCTGCGTCCTTCGACAAATCTGATCGATTCAGGRCTGTTAAGGCAGGTAAGTGGACGTGATAAGAAGTTAAGAAAAAGCTACGTAATGTGTCAGTATTTTTTTTTGTCTTCATTGCTTGTTTTCTTGTCCTCAGCCACTGCTGCTGCCCTGCTGCCTCCATCATCACCTTCCAGAAATGTSTTTGTCTCTCCTGTCCGAAGGACTTTATCTGCTGATGGACTTGTTGTAAGTTTACTTACCTAAACATATATTAAACCACTCYGATAAATCTGCTAACCTCACACCATTTTCTAGTATTAAACTCTTTCTCTTTTATAACCTGAAATAAAAACATAAACAGACTGGAGGCTCCAGTGCAAAGCAGGAAAAAACCGGCATGTCCTTTGAGATGAAGCAGCAGAAACTCTTAGAGAAAGAGGTACAAATTCTGTAGACAATATTTGGATTACAGMATATTCATACATATTCTGGGGCGAGATAACTTGTGCTATATTCGATTCCAGATCCGATCCCTGGTGCAGCAGCGAGGGGAGCAGGACCGTCYCGTGCTGGGCCTCGAAGAAGAGCTGAAGAAGGTGGAGGCCAAGCTGCTGGCTTCAGTGAGGGAGAAGACCGGTCTCACTGCCAGTGTGATTACGCTTGAAAGACAGCAAGCAGAGCTCAAGAAGYTCAATGAGTTTCTGAAAAACAAGGTGTGTGTGTTGTTTTGTTTTTGTCTCCCATCTTTGGCTTTAAAATGTTTGGCTCCCCCTTAAGTCAGAGGTCTGCAACTTTCATTAAATGTATCCGGAGTTGCAAAACGTACCACAACTCTGATTATCAACTGGTGGCCCATTGAAGGGGGGCCTTTGCCCAATGGGAGGGATTGACATTYTAAAACTTAAGTATATAGCACATTTTTATTATCTAGTCTAGAGTTAAAATTCTTTAAAGGTAACCCTTATGGATTTGAGAGAAATGGCAGCTTCAAAGAGCTGCTGCAGAGGGACCAAAGAGACACACGAGGCCCCAAAGCTGCAGGTTGCAGACCCCGGCTTAGCTTGTAGTAGTTACAAATACGTATAACTTAACAGTACCCAAATAAAAACTGTTGCTGGTTTCTTGTTAGGTTTCTGCTGACACTACAAAAAAGAGAATCAATTCTCTCACAATGGAGCTAATGGAAGCGAGGAACAATTTGGATGCTAAAAACCAGGTACGTTTCTTCTTTCTTAMAGATTTAACAGCAATTAAAACCATATTCTGAGGCTGAGTAATCGTTCAACTGCAAATTGTTTATCTGATTGTTTTCTAATCATACTATCTGGTGCTGTCCAGGAGGTAAGCCTCCTGCAAATTAACTCTGAAGGCCAGCTGAAGGCGCTAGAAATAGATCTCCAGACAGCCAGAGCTACTGTTTCTGCTCTCGATAATAGGAATAAAGATCTGGGTAAGTGTTATTACTTTGTAACGATACAAGAAGACGTTTTTAGATGAACCATTTTCTCTCTCTCTCTCTCCTTCTTTAGAGGAGCTGCATCAGGTGACAAAAACCCAGAATGGAGAGATGGAGAATGAAAATGCTCGGTTAAATGGTGAGTGCTGGATGTTTTACCTTGTCTCCTGCTTACCGAGGTATGTTTGAGTCTGATGCTCAAAAACCTGCAATTTTGTTTTGCAGCTGTGATACAAGAGCTGAGAGAGGAGATCAGAGTCCTTCAGAGATACCTGGATGAAGCAAATGACCAGATACAAGTATGATCTACTCCTAAGTAGGCCTGGGCGATAAACCYAAAAATYATAGARYCCAACATTTATGTCAATAACCGACGTCTTTTTGCCCATGTCGGTATTTTCGGTATTTGAAAAAARGAGGAAAAGAGAAACCTGCTCGTTTTCTGTTGCGGTCTCCTTCACCCAGTCTGATGCACACGCTGCTTTCAACAAATCAAACGAACCCCACAGCTTTGTCCAATCAGAGCAGAGCAGGGTGGGTCTTTCTGATGCAGTCTGCAGGATAAACACCAGTCAGCTTGCAGCTCCTGTCCTGAGTGAACAAACCCCGTCCTCCACACTTCGCTCCCGAGCTACCCGTGACGTTTGTATCTAAAATCTAACAGTATAAGTTTATGTGTTCAGAGCTTCGTTATCAGATACAGTCAAATGAAAAAGTTTGGGCAGCCTTGTTAATTTTTCTGATTTACTTTTATAAATCATTGTTTGTTTGGATTAAAAATAATCAGTAAAATCTATCATATAGGGGACAAACACAGTGATATTTGAGAAGTAAAATTAAATTTATATGATTTACAGAAAGTGTGCAATAATTGGTTAAACAAAATTAGGCAGGTGCATAAATTTTGGCACTGTGTTCATCGTATTGTTTTCAAAACCTTTAGAACTAATTAATGGAACTTAAATTTGGTTTGGTAAGTTCAGTGACCCTTGACCTCCATACACAGGTGACAGGTGAGAAAGTGTATTTAAGGGAGGCAATAGTAAGTTTTTCTCCTCTTTGCGTCTTCTCTGAAGAGTGGCAGCATGGGAGTCTCAAAACAACTTTCAAATGAGCTGAAAACAAAGATTGTTCACCYTCATGGTTTAGGGGAAGGATACAGAAAGCTACCTCAGAGATTTCAGCTTTCAGTTTCCACTGTGAGAAACTGTGAGAAAATGGAGGACCACAGGCACAGTTCAAGTCAAGGATCGAAGTGGCAGACAAAGACAAATCTCTAATAAACAGAAGTGAAGGATGTTGAGAACAGTCAGAGTCAACCCACAGACCAGCACCAAAGACCTACAACATCATCTTGCTGCTGATGGAGTCACTGTGCATCGTTAAACTATTCAGCACTTTACACAAGGCGATGCTGTATGGGAGAGTGATGCAGAGGTAGGGTTGGGCAATATTGGCAAAAAAATAATCACGATTAATTGTGGTATTTAGCCAACAACGATTAATTTGACGATTAATCCCCTGGAGTCCCTGGACACCCTTATTTTGTAGTCACATGACCAATTTAGTGGGAAAGATTTGCTCTTTATAAAAAATTGTTCCAAAATGTGTGAAAATTACAGATTTCAGGCTGTACATCAATTGTGTTGATAGATAAATAAATTACAGAACTTCATTTTTAATGTTCTTCATATTTGAAGAAGAGAGGAGCACCGAGCGGACTGACCGGAGTAATCTCCAGTCAGTCTGGCTGCCATTAATCGTATTAATTAAGTGCCAAAAAGTAATCGATTAATGTTTTTCTGACGATTAATTGCACACGATACGATTATGCCCAACACTATGCAGTGGAAGCCTTTTCTCCGTCCACATCACAAACAGCAGCTTGAGGTATGCTAAAGCACATTTGGACAAGCCAGCTTCATTTTGGAATAAGGTGCTGTGGACTGATGAAACTAAAGTAGAGTTATTTGGGCAGAACAAGGGCCGTTATGCATGGAGGAAAAAGAACACAGCACTCCAAGTAAAACACCTGCTACCTACAGTAAAATGTGGGGGTGGTTCCATCATGCTGTGGGACTGTGTGGCCAGTACAGGGACTGGGAATCTTGTTAAAGTTGAGGGACGCATGGATTCCAACCAATATCAGCAGATTCTGGAGACCAATYTCCAGGAATCAGTGACAAAGCTGAAGCTGCTGAAGCCGGGGCTGCATCTTCCAACAAGACAACGACCATAAACACTGCTCCAAATCTACTAAAACATTCATGCAGAGGAATAAGTTGAACGTTCTGGAATGGCCATCTCAGTCCCCAGACCTGAATATTATTGAAAATCTGTGGTGTCACTTAAAGAGAGCTGTCCATGCTCAGAAACCATCAAACCTGAATGAACTAGAGATGTTTTGTGAAGAAGAATGGTCTAAATACCTTCAGCCACAATCCAGACTCTCATTAGAAGCTGTAGGAAGCATTTAGAGGCTGTTGTTTCTGTGAAAGGAGGAGCTACTAAATATTGAGTTAAGGTTTTTTTTATGCCCAAATTTATGCACCTGTTTAATTCTGTTTAACCAATTATTGCACATTTTCTGTAAATCATATCAACTTCATTTCACTTCTCAAATATCACTGTTTGTCCCCTATATGATATATTTAACTGATATTTTTACTCCAAACAATCAAGGATTTATAAAGGTAAATAAGAAAAATTAACAAGGGTGCCCAAACTTTTTCATATGACTTTATGTCCAACTTTACTCGCGTGATTAAACTCCTCTCCTCGACAGCGCTGTTACGGGAGGTCGCCTCTTTCTGTAAGAACTGCTGTTTCAACMCTTCCAATGAAAGTATTAACTCTAACAGATGAACATTTCTTTGCGCCATATTATTGTAAAGATGAACCTCCGCTTAGCGTTACCCCCCACCACCACCACCACCAAAAAAAAGCAATCCGCTATGTTCTTTTTGTAGTTTATCATATCTACAAATTTCAGTCTTCACAATATACAGTATCTTGCTTATATTTAGAACCATACTGAACTGCTCTGTGATTCAATAAATGATCAAATATGAAGAATAAATAGTATGAAATGATTACATGAGCTCTCTAAATAATATAATCTTTTTGAAAGAAATGGTTATTTTAATAGAGAAATCAGTCAGTCTNGATTTGATCTTTATAAATAATTGTTCCAAAATGTGTGAAAATTACAGATTTCAGGCTATACATCAATTGTGTTGATAGATAAATAAATTACAGAACTTCATTTTTAATGTTCTTCATATTTGAAGCAGAGAGGAGCACCGAGCGGACTGACCGGAGTAATCTCCAGTCAGTCTGGCTGCCATTAATCGTATTAATTGTCAAGTGCCAAAAAGTAATCGATTAATGTTTTTCTGACGATTAATTGCACACGATACGATTATGCCCAACTCTATGCAGAGGAAGCCTTTTCTCCGCCCACATCACGAACAGAGCTGCTTGAGGTATGCTAAAGCACATTTGGACATCCAGCTTCATTTTGGAATAAGGTGCTGTGGACTGATGAAACTAAAGTAGAGTTATTTGGGCAGAACAAGGGTCGTTATGCATGGAGGAAAAAGAATACAAGAAAAACACCTGCTACCTACAGTAACATGTGGGGGTGTGGTTCCATCATGCTGTGGGGCTGTGTGGCCAGTACAGGGACTGGGAATCTTGTTAAAGCTGAGGGATGCATGGATTCCAACCAATATCAGCAGATTCTGGAGACCAATGTCCAGGAATCACTGACAAAGCTGAAGCTGCTGAAGCTGGGGCTGCATCTTCCAACAAGACAATCACCATAAACACTGCTCAAAATCTATTAAGGCATTCATGCAGAGGAACAAGTACAACGTTCTGAAACGGCCATCTCAGTCCTCAGACCTGAATATTATTGAAAATCTGTGGTGTCACTTAAAGAGAGCTGTCCATTCTCAGAAACRATCKAASRRGAATGAACTAGAGATGTTTTGTAAAGAAGAATGGTCTAAAATACCTTCAGCCACAATCCAGACTCTCATTAGAAGCTGTAGGAAGCATTTAGAGGCTGTTCTTTCTGTGAAAGGAAGAGCTACTAAATATTGAGTTAAGGTTTTTTATGCCCAAATTTATGCACCTGCCTAATTCTGTTTAACCAATTATTGCACATTTTCTGTAAATCACATCAACTTCATTTCACTTCTCGAATATCACTTTGTCCCCTATATGATACAGTGGGGAAAATTAGTATTTAGTCTGCCACCAATTGTACAAGTTCTCCCACTTAAAAAGATGAGAGAGGCCTGTAATTGACATCATAGGTAGACCTCAACTATGAGA